AAGTTCAGGGCGCCAGGGGGAGGAGGAGAAAGGGAGAGAGAGAGAGAGAGAGAGCGAGAGAGAGAGGGAGACACAGAGAGAAAGAGAGAGAGAGAGAGGAGGGAGACACAGAGAGAAAGAGGGAGAGAGAAAGAGAGAGAGAGTGAGAGACAGAGACAGAAAGCCAGAACAATAAAAAACTAAAGAGAAATAGAGAGAGAGAGCAGGGAAGAGGGAGGAGGGAGGCGGAGGGAGGAGGAGCAGGAGGAGGAGGACCAGGACAGGATTCCTTAAGCACTGCTTGTTTCGCTTGAGATGTCCTTGCGGAATTGGTTGTTTCGCTTCAGGCATCCTTGAAAACATGCTTGCTTCACTTGAGACACCCTTGAACAAACGCTTGATTCGCTTGAGGCATCTCGAAGGAATGCTTGGGGTCCTCTTGGGGCCCTTCTCGGACATTCTCATGGCGTTTCCTTGGTCGAGGGTCCAAGCTCGAGGCTCCAGGCTCGAGATCTCAACTCGAAGCCCAGTGGGCCTCGAGAGCGTCGAGATTCGAGGCTTGCCTCGACGCTCGTCGCCGCCGCCGGAGGGGAGGGGCCGGCGACGGCAGCGGCGACGGCAGAGACGACGACGGCGACGACGACGACGACGACGGCGGCGGCAGCGACGACGGCGTCGTCGTCGTCGTCGCCGTCGCCGCCGCCACCGCCTCCATCCTCCCTCCGTCCTGCTCCTGCTCCTGCTCCTGCTCCTGCTCCTCCTCTTCCTCCTCCTCTTCCTCCTCCTCCTCCGCCTCCTGCTCCTCCTGCTGCTGCTCACCCCCCTGCCCTCCCTCTCTCCCCCCGCATCTCCCCTCTCGCATCCTCGAGCAATTTCTTGTTTCGCTTGAGGCATCCTCGAGCAAATCTCTCGTTTCGCTTGAGACATCCTCGACAAATCTCTCGCTGTGCTTGAGACATCCTCGAGTATTTGCTTGTTTCGCTTGAGACGCCCTCGACAAGCCTCTCGCCTCGCTTGCGACATCCTCTAGCAATTCCTTGTTTCGCTTGAGACTCCCTCTCCTCCCTCCCCCCTCCGTCCTCGATCGACCCTCGGGTCGAGAGTCCAAGGTTCTCGGGCCAGGGATCCGAGATCTTGTGATCTCGGATCAACGATGGCCCGAGGCTCTCGGAGCCTCGATCCGAAGATCGATCGAGGATCGAGCCCCGACGGAGTTGCGCTCGATGTTTACGCTCGAGAGGGGGCCGACGAAGCCTCTCGGGAAACCTCTCGGAAAGCTCGAGGGAACGGGCCTTGATCGCCGCTCGCTCCTCGATGAGGCCTCGATGAAGCCTCGCGCTGGGCCTGCTCGGCTCAAACCTCCATCTCGATATTCTCGAACTCCTGCTTGCTCGTCTTCTCGACCTTCATCTCCTCGTACTCGTTGTTGATCTTGGCGTAGCTCTGGGAGCTAGTCTTGATATGCACATCGAAGAACATCTTCTGATGCTCGAGCTTCTTCTTCTCCTCGATGTCCTCGTCGCGCTTAGGGCGCTTGGCGGCGGTGTACTTGCGCGCGTCGAGCTCGAAAGCCTTCTTGGCCACCTTGCTGACTCGCCAGCGCCACGCCACGATTGCGCTCGTGGTGCAGATGCGCTCGCTTGCGTCGCCCTCGAGGCAAAACCGCTTGAACTCGTCGAAGTAGTCCTTGGCCTTCTTGGGCATGATTGCTACCGACTCGAACTGCCCCTTGCCCTTCTCGGCGCTGGCCCTCGGCAAGACAGGCTTGAACTGCTTGTTCACTGGAAGCATCTCCTCGTACAGCGCTTGCAGATCTTGGGGGATCTCGCCGAGGACTTGCTTGACAACCTTGGCCGCGGCTCCCTCGGGCATCATTTCGGCCTCGTCGCTGAGGCGCGCGTCGTGCGTTTTGGCCTCGTCGAGCAAATCCGCTCGGAAGCTCGGCAACATCCTGAGCAACTTCTCGACGTTCGTGTCTTGGTCGTCGAAGCCGTCGAACATCTCGGCGCCCCCCTCGATGTGCGTCTTGTAAAAGATCGCGCAGAGCAGCTCGCCGCGCCGCTTGTCCTCGCCGTGGAAGATGCCGTCGTGCTGGATGCCCTCGAGGCTCCCCGTCTTGAGGGCGCTCGCGAGGACGGCGTTCTTGATGTTATTGTGCCACAGCGCGGAGCCGCCTCGGCAGTAAAAGCTCGTCATCCTCGAAGCGTCGGTAGCCTCGCCGCTCGATTGGCACTGCCTCATCTCGGCGCAGCCTGCCTTCTCGGCGATGTACTCGAGTGTCTTGTTCAGCACCTCGATGGCCTCGTTCTGCTTCTCGAGCAGCTTGGACATCTGCTCCAAAACCTTGCTGTTCTGCTTGAGCAGCTCGATGACTTGGCTGTCCTCAGCGAGCTGGGGGCTCGACGCCTTGGGCGACGCCATGGCTCGGGAAGCTGAAGCTCGAAAGGTTCGAAAGCTCGGGAGCTCGAAAGCTCGAGGCGCTCGAGCCAGAACGGTTGCGGGCGGGGGCAGGAGACTAGCCCGTTTCGCTGGACACATCCTCGAACACGTGCTCGTTTCGCTTGGAACATCCTCCAACAAATTTCCCGTTTCGCGTGAGACATCCTCGTCGAATCTTTCATTTCGCTGGAGACACCCTCGAGCAATTGCTTGTTTCGCTTGAGACATCCTCGAACAAATCTCTCGCGTCGCTTGAGACGTCCTCGACAAATCTCCCCGTTCGCGTGAGAAATCCTCGAGTATATGCTTGTGCCGCTTGGGACATCCGTAAGAAACGTACTGTTTCGCTGGAGGCGTCCTTCAGTGTATGCTGGTTTCGCTTGAGACATCCTCGAATTTATGCTCGTTTGGCTTGAGACATCCTCGACAGCGTGCTCGTTTCGCTGGATGCACCATCGAAAACGCGCTCGTTTCGCTGGAGACATCCTCGAACAAATCTCTCGTTTCGTCTGAAGCATCCTCGACAAATCTATCATTTCGCTTGAGACATCCTCGAATATATGCTTGTTTCGCTTGGGACATCCTCGGCAAGTTTGCGCGTCGGCTGAGACATCCTCAAATAATTGCTGGATCCGCTTGAGACATCCTTGAACTATTGATCGTTTGGTTTTAGGCTGCATCCCAAAATTATTGGTTTCGCTTGAGACATCCTGAAACAAACGCGTTCGCTTCGCTTGATGTTGTTATCTCAACATAAGAAAGACGTAACCTCGATGGCGAAATTTCCCCGTGATAATGAAGTTCGGCCTCCGCGCCCTCCGCCTCTATTTGAAACCCGTCTAGGCCGACGATTATATATATATATGTATATATAACTCAAACGACTTAAGGGGGAAGGGGGGGGGATACTTTATTATCCTGGGTATGGGTTTATTGGTGATGTTGAATCCTAGCTTAACCAATCCGCCGATTTCTTTGCGGGAAAGGCCGCGGAGGCTGGGTAGGTGTCAGACGAAGATCCCCGCGCTACGTTTGCGTGCGATGATAGGGCCTTCAAGGTTTTAGGCCGTCTGCTTGCTCTCCAGAGAGAAGTGGTGTTCACCTCTGACCGTGAATGTGTCAATCGTGCAGCTCGCGTGCGTAGCTCGTGTCGTTCGCTAGACTCAGCCGCTAGACCAAAGGCCACGTAGGCTTCGGGGTGCATGGCGCCAGTGCACGGTTCCAAATGTGCCCGATGCTTGCGCAGTTTCAGTCGGAGAGGTTCCCTTTCCGAGTTCTGGCCGTGCCCCTGCAAACCCCGAGCTGAGATTCAACAGAGAATTCAGGCTCTTCCTCCCAGACAGCGGGCACCCGACCCGCACAGAAGGGAGCCTTCTCCTCCTCCTGGCGACTTGGGGCTTCGGGGGGCGGGAGCGGGCGGGGGTCTGGGTCATCCAGTGGCTGAACAATGTCATCTCACACACCACCTCTCCTCCTACCGATGTGCGTTGTTTTGCGCAACCTGTGGTTGCCATTGTGTAGAGAACCCGCGCTCCTTGAAAGAGGAGTGCGAGCCCCCCACCCGAGCGGGGCGAGAGGTTCTAAGCAGGTTGAAGAGGGGACTCCCACCAACATCTGGTGGAAGTTTCCATGATGTTTTAATCGTCCGTGACTTTAGGGTCTGGCACGGGGGCATTGCGCCCCGACCGATGCCTTTCCCCGTTCTCAGACTCGACTGCCCGAAGTTTTTGTCCCCGGCGTTGGAGCGGAAGGCGGCGGGTCCTTGATCGCTCTGCCCAGTTGTCTTAGGACGCATCTGGAGGGCCCGCCATGGGGACACTCGCTCGGCGGCGGGGTCAGGCCCACACCAGGGGCAAGCCAGGGGCCGTCCACGCGTCCGCCCGTTCTGGGTTAGGCACACCTGGTTTTTTTTGGCCGTCGTCCTGGCGTCGCCTGTGATTTCAGTTTTCATGAGATTATGTCATGTATGCGGCATGTTCTGTTCAAAGTAGTGCCCGTGGTAGTTAAGTTCAAGCTGGGAGGGGAGAGACGGCCACCCCCCGCGCCCTAGCACTTACCCAGTGCATTAGTGTGTGTGTGTGTAAGTGTTATCTGTTTCCTGCCAAACGCGCACGGCCCGATGCGACTGACCCTGAGGGCAGGCATCCGTGTGCTTACCCCGCATCTGGGGCGTGGCCTCCCACCGTCCAGGCGCTCCTTGCACCTGGGGTGGGAGGCCCCGTCGTCCTTGTGTGGGTGGTCGACTGCGTTTGTGTTGAGGAGAAGGCTGCGAGCCTTCTCTCCAGGCTTGCTTTGTCCGCGCCCCCGCCCGCACCCCACCCGCAGCCCTGTCGTGGGCTCCAGGGGGATCGCGGGGCGGGGATTGGGCACAAGAATTTGAGAATTTGTTTGGTGAGCGTATGAATGTGTGAATTTGTTTGCGTGCCCCGCCCAGCAGCAGGTCACCACGCGCAGAGGTAGAATAGAGTAGAATAAAATCCTCCCTCCTCCTCCTCCTCCTCCTCCTCCTCCCTCCTCATCCTCCTCCCCTTCCTCCTCCTCTTCCTCCTCCTCCTCCTCCTCCTCCTCCTCTTCTGCGCAAGGTTCGACATCATGCGGGCGGGGACGCACGCGCTCCTCCCGAAGAGGAGGAAGCAAGCACGGGCTTCCCAGACCCCCTCGCGTTGTGAAAAAAAAACACGACGAGATGTTTTCGCAATCTTCGGCCTCCGGGGGCCCTTCCCGCGCCTCGGGGCCGTGGAGGAGGAGGAGGAGGAGGAGGAGGAGGAGGAGGAGGAGGAGGAGGAGGGGGAGGGGGAGGAGGAGGAGGGGAGGGGGAGGGGGAGGGGGAGGGGGAGGGGGAGGGGAGGCGGAGGCGGAGGCGGAGGCGGAGGCGGAGGCAGGCGGAGGCGGAGGCAGAGGGAGGGAGGGGGGGGGAGGGGGAGGGGGGGGGAGGGGAGGGGGAGGGGAGGAGGAGGAGGAGGAGAGGAGAGGAGGAGGAGGAGGAGGAGGAAGGGAGGAGGAGAGAGGAGGAGGAGGGAGAGGAGAGAGGGGAGAGGAGGAGGAGGGAGGAGGAGGGAGGAGGAGAAGGAGGAGGAAGGAGGAAGGGAGGAGGAAGGAGGAAGAGGAGGGAGGGAGGAGGCGTTGGAGGAGGAGGAGGAGGTGGAGGAGGGGAAGGGGTCCAGACCTCTGGGAGTCGACGCTGTGAAAAAATCACGACTTCGGGGGTCTGGGGCTTCTGAACCCTCAGAGGCCCGCGCGGAGGTCTCTCGCGAACGGCGCCTGGGCGCCCCGAGGCCGCCCGAGGGTCGAGTCGGGCCTGTCCCTCTACGGGAGGAAGGTTCAAAAGGTAGTCAAAAAATAGTTTGGGACCTGTTTATTGACTACTCTTGACTATTTCTGATTATCCGTTTTTGCTATTCTTCCTGTTTCGTCCACAATCCGCCTGTAGGAGGACACGCCCGACCTAACGCCAAGGATGGGCGTCCAGAGCCGATCCGAGAGATTCGCGCCGCTCTCCGAGAGTGCATGTTCGTCTTGCTGTCTTTTTCTTCTGTCCTCCACATCCCGCAGGGGGCCGCTCTGGCGGACGCCCTGCTGCGCGTGCAGGTCGCTGTGGCACGCCAGGGCTCGAAGTGCGAGGACATGTACATCAAGGTCCTGAACGTGACCGGCAGCTGGGCGGAGGAGAAGCACGTCGGCGGCTTCAGCTTCGTCACAGAGTCTCCGGCGGGCGGCCAGGTCATCGCGGCCCCAGCCGGATCAGCGGACTGGTCTCGCTTGGGAATGGTGGACCTCAAGGTTGTTCGCGGAGCCACCAGGTCGGGCGTCTTGTACCTGAACATGTTCGCCAGGCACCTCCGCGACGCCAGCCGCGTGTACCCGATCGGTGGCATCCTTGGCCTGGATGACCACGGCGAGGCAGCGACGCCAGCCGCTGAGTGCGGCAAGAAGGTGCTGTCCTTGCTGCACCGCGCGCATGGGCTCGGTGCGCTCGATGGTGGTTCTGTCGCGGACGCGTCGGCGTGAGACCCGTCATCGAAGCCGTTGTTTGGGGCTCTCTGGGGCGGGCTGCGCTCTGGGCGCTTCAGTGCGGGTGGCGTCAGCGGTGGGTCGGCGGGAATCCGCATTTACGTCTTGGTTCCCTGATTGAATGTTTGAATTTGTGTCTCCGATAATGTGATCCACACCGCTGCGCGGGGGCACGGCCGGACAGCGCCCCTGTCTTCCCCTCTCAGCCTTGTGTTTCCTCCCTTTCATCCCCCTTTTTGCCTCCCTCCTCCTTGTTCTCCTCGTTCCTCCCCCTTGGGGGCTTTGTGGGTTCAGTTTGGGGGCGATTCGGGGCCTCGTGAGCCGCTTTAGAACCTTCCTGGGCATCGGCGTGGCCTTCTGGACCGTCTTCGGATTCTTTTGGATTGTCTCGGGGGCGACAAGGGGCCCCATTGGGTTGTTTTGGCACCGCGCAGGGCCATCTTGAGCTGCTCTCTGCCTTTCTTTGAAGCTTGTTGGGTTCCTCTTTGGCTATCCTGGGCCTCTTTGGTCGGCCTTTAGGTGCTCATGTAGGACATCTTCGGGGTGGTCTTGATTGAAAGGCTCCACGCGCACATTGTAGTTAAATCGGGCGTAGGGTGGGGGAGACACCAGGGAAACTTCGGGGGCCTTGTGCCCCTCCGGCACACATTTGCATGATTGCATGACAGGGGAGCTTGCGGTTTGCAGACCCGACTGCCGCATGCCAGCCAGATTGCAAGGGTTCGCGAACGCATGTGGTAAGACGGTTCACCTTAACATCCTCCCCTTCTTTATCTGCCACTGGTTTCCTCCCTTATTGTCGTCGTCCTCGTCGCTCGTCGCTCGTCGTCGTCGTGCGCGCGGACGCTGTGGTGGCGCCGGAACCGCACGGGGGGGGGGCGTTACGTTATTATGCCCCCCCCCCGCGAATAAAGAAACCCGCTCTGGCCGCTTCCAGACCTCCGAAGTCGTGGCTCTTCGCAACGTCAACCCTCAAAGGTCTGGACCCCTTCCCCGGGAACGGTTTCTCATCCTGAAGGGTTTCTTGACAGTCCCGAGGCCCGGTCAGGGCCCCCAGAGGCCGAAAATAGCGAACTCCCGTCGTGTTTTCTCACGACGCGAGGAGGTCTGGGCTCGCGGAGGCCGTCGTTCTGGGGGCCTATTTGAGCCGCCTTTTTGGTCCTTTTTTGTATGGGGCCTGCGAGGCGCCGCGATCATCGGGGTCTCCTCTTCTGTCCTGGAGCCCTCCGGGGCCGTCCTTGGGGCTTCTTGACCCATCTCTGGGCGCTCGGCCTCCCCACCCTCCTCCTCCTCCTCCTCCTCCTCCTCCTCCTCCTCCTCCTCCTCCTCCTCCTCGCCGCGCGGCCCAGGAACAACATGTTCAGCGGCTGCGCCACAGTCGGCTTGGGCACGGAGGCCCCGACCCTGAGGCGCGAGCCCAGGTCCTGCCCCAACCGCCCAGTTACCGCACCCTTCCTAGTCACGATGTTTATTTTCATTTGCTTCACTCACGGTTTATATTTCTCTGTTCCTGGCGGCGTGAGGTTGCTGATTGATGTTTTCCCCCCCCGTTTGTGTTGACTGGTTCAGTCATCCAGGAATGTAGTATGAGAGCTGTTTGCTGGAATCCCCTTTCGGCGGCAGATAGAGACATACTATTGATCTAGAGTGCAAGAGAGTTGATGTGCTTGCATTGGTTGCTACTCACAGGAGATGTTTTGACAGTCCGTACGTTGCCGAGGACCTTCCACATTCTAAAGCAGCGCAGCGTGGCTATCACGCGAAAGCACAGCGTGCCAACTCGAGTTGCGGTATCAGGTTTGATATGAACAAACAGACGGTGAAGGCGCGGTATGTGGGAATAATATGGACACCCACATTGGACATCCGCGGGCATGCAGCAGCGATTCGCATCAAGTTTTCCCATGAAGACGTGACCTGATTGGGTCTGTGCTGTCCACCGCGCAGCAAAGATCCCAGGGGGGCAACCACGACTGCGCACCACCATTGAGTAGGTATGCGGTTTTGCCGCAGGCGCGCTGTCCTCGCCCCCTTTCAAGAACGGCCCCAATGGTGGCGGTTGATGTGAACGATGGCATCGGGCGATGCAGAGGGCAGCGCGGAGTGGCGGACGTTGACTCGAATGCTGTTGGGGCGCATGGCAGAGGTGAAGAGTATCAGGCGGGCCAACTGTTTCGAGAATTCGGTGAGGCGTTTGATCTGGCGGTTGCGAATACCTGCGTCCCAGGAGGCCCTTCGCATTTCGGAGGCGGACGCAATCTACCTTCGGATGGTGACTGTCACGGAGCGTCAGGCCCGCGTGAGCGTCAGCATGTTTCGTGGGTTGATCATATTTTGCTGCCGTCATCCCTCTGATCGGTTATGAAGCTTCAGCAGGCGATGCGCTCGCCCCAGAGATTGCAGGTCATTCCTGGCAGTCGACCGAGGGGCCACGCCGCGTATGCTCTAGAAGTACCCCTTCGGTCGACGCATCGCCCTCCTGCGCCGCAGAAAAAAGGCGGGGCTGTGTAGGTCTGGGGCAGGCCCTGAGATCTGAGCGCGTCGCAGATGCCATTTCGGAGACGCATGGGCGACGCTATTCGAGCATTACTCGGTGAACGAGGTGCCGAGCGCGTAGGAGAGCTAGTTCAGGAAGCTGGGGGCACGGAAGATGCATGGGCGCAGCTGGCGCAGCTCACGCAGTCAGTTGGTCTCGAACTCTTCGAGGCCACCCCGAAGGCGCCCCCCTGAGAGCACCAGCAGCTTGCCCAAGAACGAGTTCTCGCCCTGAAGGCTCGCGGGAAAGCCAGGGAGACGATGGCCGACAATATCGAGGCTACCCTGTGTTTTGCTCGCGCCGCGCGCCGGCGTCGAGCTCTTCGCCGCAGGTCTCGCGAACAGCGGGAAGCCCGACTGGCGGATGGATAGAGGGGCTCAGGCGAAAGGATGGGCGCCGGAGGAGTGGGGAATATGCAGACTAATGGCTGGTGATGGAGCGGGACCTTGTCGTCGGAAGTTCGGGTCGATCGCTGCGCGCGCAGTCGATGGGTGGGCGGGTGGAGTACCTAGCTGCGCCGTCTAGTGCTGGAGGGTTGGCGGCCACGCCGATCGACGAAGAACTTGCCCCGTCTCAGGCGTCGGAGCACGACTGCGCCCTGCCGCCCAGCATTGCTGATGCTGATCTTGCTGCCGATGATCTGCAGCGCATAGATGATGACTTTAGAGTGGCTTGGAGACGTCGGGATGCAGTTCCTTGGAGCGTTCCTAATGAAGTTTGAGCCCTGCTACTTTCTAAACGCCCTGATGTGCGTGGACGCATCTCTGGTCTCGGCGCCGAGCCGCCTGGCGGGCTTGGAGAAGTGTTTGGGAAATGGGCGCATTGCGTGCCTCTGAAACTTAGGCAGCATGGGAGTTTGGTTGCTTACTGGAGCGAATCCCATACGTGCCATTTACCAAGAGAAAACGGAAAGCTAAGGGCCTGGGGAGCTCGACTGCTCCACGGGCTCGGTGCGCTTGGGAAGATGTGGGTCAAAACGGCCCGCCGAGAGCCGCGTGCACTTCCGAGATATGGCTACGGGCGTCCTCCGAGGAGGTCTCGCGCGGGCGCGGCCGGGACGACTGCCGTTGTTTCCTGGGGGGCCCAGAGGATGGGGCTGGGCACGATTGACACGAAACATGACGTGCGCAGTGCCTTCGGTTCGGCCCAGCACGTCTCGCTTGATCTGGCAGTTGCGAGATTGCACGACGAGGCTGACGCCAAGATACTCAGACAGAGGCACCGACGCACGCGCGCGCTGCAGTGCCATTGGAGGGGGGGGGGGGGCGCTTCAGAATCGGGGGGGTGGGTGGGTGGGGGGGGCTACATGGGGGGCGCCAATGCTGCCGCGGTATTTCAGGAGGCTTTTGCTCTTCCGATTCGCGCGTGGTCTCGCGACCATCACGCTGCGCGCGCCAACGGTCTGCGCGGCAGGATTCCGATCGCGGGCGTGGAGTGCGACCTCTCGCTGCGAGTTTTTGCGGATGACGTGAATGAGACGCGCGTAACCAAGGACTGCGATGGCACCGCGCGCGCTGGTTTCGTCAGATAGGCACCTCAAACGCCGCGCACAACAACGCGGCAGGTACCGGAGTGAGGGGGGCAACAGGCCGCGCCGCATTTCGCGGGCCCCGGGGCGATCAGACTGACCAAGTACGTCTTCCGGGCCCATGGTTCTGAACGACTTCCTGGACTGGCGTTGCCCGTGGTTCCCTTTCTTGGCATTCGATGTGCTCCCAGTGTTTCGCGGGCCCCAGAGGTCTCGGCCAGGTGCGCGGCAACGTTTAGGGGGCGGGCTCGTATCAGGCGCTTCTGGCCCCCATGTGCTTCGCGGAAGGTTAAGGAGATGGCGTTCACGAGCAACGTTATCGAGGCGGCCCTGTCGGGCCTCGCGGCTCTGGTACTCTCGAGGTCCACGGAGGCGCGCCTGGAGTCTGCGTGCTTGAAGTACTTGAAAGTGTCGCTCGGTGGACTTGCCGAGAAAGTGCAGTGCGTCGACGAGGGGGGGCGAGAGACTGTTGTAATTCGCGCGCCGCCAGCTGCGCAGATTTGGCGGCAGGCTGGGATCGCGCCGCTGGCGCTGGAGTTGCGCGTCCAGAGGCTGAAGGAGTGGCAGCAAAGTGTACGCTCTCCTGGGCGTCGCGAGCGACAGCTCACGGCGGTGTTCGGCGAGCTTGCGCGTGAAGATGAAGTGCCGTCGCGTTTTGATTGGTCCCCTGGCTCCCTGGTGCGCCCACTTGGGCTCTCGCAGTAACCCGTGGGCCCTGCAGTTCTTTTGTGATATGTCCCACATGGGGATCGAGGATGAGGCGGGGGGGGGGGGTCGAGTAGATGGAGTGGGATTTTCTGAGCGCATTCAGGGGCAACACGTCCGGGTTCGAAGCCTTCTCGAAAGTTGATATGCAACAGTTTCGCGCTGGGCGGCTCCTTCGAGCCTGTGTGCCTGCGGCCCCAGTTCCTGAGCCTGATGAGTCAGCGGATGGTGATTTCTGTTGTGCATTACTGGATGGGGATGGGGGCTGTGCGTGAGCGCCGGTTTCGGACGAGGAGAGCCCTGCTCGTGCGTCAGCGCCAAGCCA